CTCTTCTTTGTGCCCTGAATGCCACTGTAATGTCTAAGTCATCTCACACTTGCTGTGTCCAAAGCCAAAATGCTGAAATTCACCTCAAACCTTCTCCCGCATCGCCAGCTCCATCTCACTGGCAGCTCTATCCTCCCACTTGCTCAAACCAAAAAGCCTGGAATCCTGTTCAGCTCTTTTACTCACAGTCTACATCCAGCCCATCAGCAAGCCCTGTTGGGCCTAACCGCCAAGAAGACTGGAAGCCAGAACTTCTGCTACCGCCTTGACAGAGTCACCAACTTCTCACTGCACTACTGAGACAGCATCCAATCCAGTCACTGTGTTTCACCCTGAACTTCGACAGTGTAGTCTTTACTCAGCAGCCAAAGGGCTCCTCCCCACTTGGTGTGCTGTTACTCCAGTGGGTTACCATCTCACTCACATAAAAAGTTGAAGTCCTTGTGACGTCCTTTTAAAGGTCCGTTGAATAGTGTGTCTCTCACTCACACACTTAACTACCTGACTTCATCTCCTTTTACCTCATATTTCCTTGCTTTAATCACAGGCCTCCTTGCTTCCTTTCAATATTCGGACCTGCTTCTACCTCAGGGCCTTTGCACTTGCTGTTCCCTTGCTTCCTACTGAAGCTTCTTCAGATACTTCTTCAAAAAGTCTGTCCCTAAGACTTTCCCTCACTGTCCTACCAGCTGATTTAAGATTGGAATCACCCCATCCTTGCCTGTTTTGTTCTGACACTTATTTATATACCATGTATCTTACAAGTTTATTCATGTCCATCTCTTCCAAATAGATATTCATGAGAGCTAGAATTACTGTCCACTTTGTTTACCCCAATTCCTGGTATATAGCAGGTGCTTAATACATACTTGAAGGATGAGTTCAGATATTTAGGTCCCAATGAATTACAAGTTGATATGTGAGTAGTTTAGAATTCTGTATTTGAGAAAGCCATCCTAACTACAATGAGGGTCCCCGGATGTCAGCAGTAAAGAAGCCCATGAGTATCACAGAGTTCAGCCCTCCCATTCCACCCCTGATGTTACCAAAGCCAGGTGAGGAGTTGCCCCAAGTCCCCGTGTGATGTTGAGGGGGGGATAGGAAAAAGTAAAATTTAGGTATTGGGTGTCCCTCTAGTCTGCTCAGACTGGTCTCAGAGGAGACAAGAGGGGAACTGAGCTTGGGGCAGGGCCTGGCCCCCAAGATAGGCAGGGAAGGGTAACATGGAGCTGCCTCATCCCCGGGGGGGTAAGGCTGAGAGAAGGGAAGAGGCCCCCAATGCTGAACCTCCTCCTAGGAGCCCTGCTTTTGTCTAAAGTAAGACATGGTGAATCAATGGCTCATTTCACGAGTTGATCACAGCCTCTGAAATGACTGATCCATGGGGGGAAAGAAAGCAAGGCTGTCAACAGGAACAGAACTAGAGCTTGAGAAATGGTCTTAACGTCCAACTGAAACCAGAGAGCTGGCAGGCATGATATGGGAGGGGAAGTTTCAAAAATGCTTAAAAGCTTCTCTGCCCTGGCCTTCCTAAGCCCATAGGAAGGCACCTGGTGCACTTGTGAAAAACAGGCTCCTGTTTCTGTCCAGATGTCCAAGGCATCTGAGGGGAGGGGCAGGAGCCTGGGCGTAAGTCAGCTTTATGGTCTACAGGCTTGAGCAACACCGCCCGGGCCCTTACCCTGTGCAGTCAGGACCCTTGGCAGGCAACGAGGCCTTGCTATCAGGCCCTTCCTCATCTCTAGGCTGCTTAGAACTGCAAGCCCCAATTCCAGCACACTAGAGAAAACACTGGTGTCTGTAAATCCCAACAGAATATTGTGCTTATCAAATGCACCTTGGGGAATTCTTATTTTATTGCTCCCAATAATGCCTTGGGCAAGCTATGACTCAGCAGTTATTGCAAGATGATCTGTCCTACCTGGCTAATTTGAATGCAGAGGTTGCTGGGAAATGGCCCCAGGAGGGCAGCCGTGGGGGGAGCACTGCTGGGTTTCCTGGGAAGACCAGCTTGACTGGTTCGGGGGTGACAAACCTGAACCAGGCATGCCCGCTCCTTCCGTTTATGCCAGTCATTCCCTCCCAAGTTCACACATGCCCCCAGGGGCACACACATGCCCCTAACAGCACACTTATACAGGGAAGCCCGAGACCCTGGACCGCTTCCAGGCAAAACACTGCTTCCTGTTTCCTCCAGCCGACCCTTCCTGCCCTGCCAGTTCTAGAGGCAGCTCTAATTAAGTTGCTTCTCTGCTCAAAATCCTTTCACAGGGCCCATTCCCATCTCATCCTACTGCAGTACTCTGGCCGGGCACTCAGGGCTCTGATGAGGCAGCTGCAGCGCCAGAGGGAGGCAGAGTAACGGCCCCCAGGTGATCCCGGTCAAAGCCCTGCAACCTGGGACTGAAGGTGGTGGGTGACAGAGGCTTTGCAATGTGATTACACTGAGGACTCTGAGGAGGGGCTTCCCTGGACTGTGGGGGTCGGCCCAGTCGACTGATATAGTCTTAAAAGTGGAGAGCTTTCCCTGACTGTGGCTGGAAGACAGGTTGAGGGGAGAGTCAGACCTAGGATGCTGTCGGCTTGGAAAACAGAGGATGGGACATTGAGAAATGTGGGCAGCCTCTAAAAGAAAGAAAAGGCAAAGAACTGGGTTCTCCCTCAGAGACACTAGAGAGAAACGCAGCCCCATCTGCCCAGACATCTTGCTTTTATCCCAGTAAGGAGTCTGATTCAACCTTACGAGAACACATTTGCATTAAGACGCTAAGATCACAGTCATTTGCTAGGACATGAATACACGCTACATTCAAACTCCCTCCAAACTCTGTCACCCTTTCTACCCCAAATACTATGGGTTCCCTCCCCCACGCACCACCTCCCCCCATCCATGTACCTGATTGCCCCCTTTCCTTGAGTTTATATTCACAATCATCTTTCCCACTGTCCTCAGCTTCCACCACCCGCCATCAGCATTCACTCTTGCGCCTGCTCCCCACTAGGCAGTGACATCCTGGAGACACTCGCCGTGACATTTCCCTCTGGGCCCCACAACCAGGCACATCCCACAGGTTTGCAGAGTGGACCGCGGCAGTGTCACCATCACCTGGGGATCTCGGCGAGCATCCCAGTTTGACCCAGTCACTGCGGAGGGACAGGTCGCAGCTCTGAATGTACCACGGCGGGAGACCGCCAAGGCTCAGAATTATGGGAAAGAAGTGAGGGGTGAGCAGAAAACGTGGCCACTTCTGTGAAAAGGGAGGTTTTTACATCATTTTAAAAAGCATCGACTCTTTAGCAAGAGATGAATAGATTCAATGTTCATAGCTGCCTAGAACTTTGTGAATTTTATACCATATGGACATTACCTGTTCATAACAGTACAATAATAAAATATATATATATATATAGCAAAACACAGCTCTTAGCTGTGTTGCCAGAAAAGGACCCCAGGTCCTGGTGGGCCGCAGGCATCTGTGTCTAAAGCGTTGTCTGCCAGCTCATCCCAGGTCAGGAGCTGCTTCTTCCAAGCCAGGAAGAGGGCAGAGGCGAGGTGTAAAGTGTATTTGGAAGCATAAACTTAACATGCACACGTGGTCAGAAAGATAAACCAAAGCTCTCCCAGGTTTGTGGACCCACTGATTCAGCACCACTTGTGCATTTCAGGGACAAGACAGGGAGCGTTTCCCAAAACTAGTCAGCCAGAGCCACAGGCTGGTGTCCCAGGAATGTTTGATAATGACAGTGACATGGACTCCCACAGGTGTCCACCTCGGGCAGGGACTTCACGCTAGGAAAATCAAGCTGACTCACGGGCAGGAGGCCAGGAGGATAAAGAAGAAAAACCATCTTTAATCAACCCACCTGCACAGAAGCCAGGGCAACAGCCCCTGCCTTGCAAGGGCCCAGTGAGAAGAGAACTTGGTCCCCTTGCAAAAACCATCTTATAAAAACAAAAGGCTTCAAAGCACCAGTGGCTAAACCCGTTGAGTAGAAAGGGGGTGGGGGTGAGATGACAGCCGGCTGGGAGTGGAAGAGGCTGGAGGTAGGAACTGGCCTGAAGGGCACTCTGCCCCTTGAGCTGTACCCACCCGCTGACCGTCCAGAGTTCCTCGGTCCAGCTCTGCAGATGGGACGGTGAGGCAGAGTCTTAGCTTGCGAGTTTGACCTTGGGTGTCAGGGACGCTAGATCAGAGGGTAGAGAGCAACAAATACAGTGGCCAGCGTGGACAGCAGGCACATTCACCCAGCCTCCCCCCCTCCTTCCTAATCCAGGACCCTCCTGCTCACAGACCAGGAAGCTGAAGCCTGATCCTCCTATGCTCGGCTGTACTAGCTGAGGACCCGACATCCTCAGCGGTAGGTGGAGGGAGGTGGGGAGAATGAGCTCTCAAGTCTACTTGCTTGCAAAGAAGGGTGCAGTCCTCCCCACCCACCAAGGGCCATGGAGCCAATGCTGCCTTTCCAGACCAGCTCCTGGGCTTGCTGGGCGTGGACACTGGAGAGGTCATAAACGCTGGTGATCTGGAACACGGGCGACCAGCCCTCTTCTCTGGAACCACAGGTTTTCCAACTGATGAATTGGGTGTCACCATCGGTAATGGTGGGGTTGCTGAGAGGGGATCATGGGTGCAGCAGACCCAGCCTCCGGGACCTAGGAGGTGGTGAGGTGACTGAGCTGTGGTCCCCTTTTATTGGAGAGAGCTTGAAAAGTTTACTGAGGGTGGACAAAGGGCAAGTTTCGGGAGGTTTCCCTGTGGGTCAGGCTGGATTTAGGGCTCTGGGCTTCTGTCCATCCAGTTCCCAGTAAGAAAGTATTGATTATATTGCTTTGAGAGGCGCTGGCAGGTGGAGGCTGTGATGTGAGTGTGGTGTCCAGCGCATGGGTGCTAGAGAGTCCAGGTGGGGAGGGCCTGGATGGAATCCAGAGAGGACCACTGGCTCCTGGAGTCTGAAACTACAGGAAGGACGCTGCCCGAGGACTGTGGTTACCTGGAGCTCAGGCTGTGGTCTCCAGCAGCTGCTTCCCATCTCTGGATCTCAGTTTCCATGGCTGCAGAATGAGAATCATAACCCCAGCCTAACCCAGGGAATTGAGAAGGCTAGAATGAATACACCTGCTAAGGACTGCTTTAATGGAAACGGGGAAACTGAGGTCCAGAGAGGGCTTCAAGAACGCCAGAGAGTCAGTGATGGAGCAGGGCGTAGAACCCAGCACGCCTGACCCTAGTTCGCTGGCATATTTCCCCAGGGCTGGCGAAGGCATGGGTTGTCTGTCCACCCTGCCATTTCTCTCTGGACAGGGGGCAGGATGTGGGTGAAGGATGAAAGGGAGAGGCTGGAGAGAGGAGGCAGGCCCCAGAACAGGCCAAGGCTGAGATAAAAAAAAAAAATACAAACCCCACGATCCCCCTCCCCCGCCCCGCCCTACCCCACCCCTTAAGTCCGTGCTGCAAAGGGCCGCCAAGTCCAAGGGGCAGCAGAACCAGCCCAGCCGGTGCAGCCTGCAGTCGGCCCGGGAGCCGCCAGAGGGCGCGCCTGCCCATCCTCGCCCGAGTTCGCGCAGCGCCGTTCGTCCAGCCACCAAGTCTGCAGCGCCGGGGTGGGCGCGGGGCAGAAGCTACCCGGACCTGCAAGAGACATGGGCAGGCTTGGAAGGGGGGCCCAGAGGACTGGGGCAGTGAGAGCGGGCTACTTTCCAGCACTCCCGCCCCTTCTTTCCACTACACCGATGCCTGGGTTCCCCCACCCCATCGGCTCCACCCCTGACCCACGTGTACAGAGGCTGCAGTTGTAAATGCGACGTCTTCTGGGGCGCCTGGTATCCGTAGGAGTCAAAGCCACCGATGAAATCAACTGCGGGAGGGGATGTGACATCGATTAAGGGCGGGCCTGGGTGGGGCGGAGCTGCTGGAGGCTGGGCCCCGAGGGAGGAACCAGAGAAGCCTGACCCTGGAGCCGGGCCTAGCTTGGGCTTTGCCGCGGATCCCTGAGGGATGCAGCTACCTACCAAGGCCCGGGCGAGCTACAGGCAGGCGGGGTTCAAGTTCCTCAGAGGACAGAGAACTTGGGGGGTGGCGGGGAAGCAATCCTTTAAGGCAGAAGGCTCTAGGGGGCATGTGGGGGGCATGTCGAGTCACCCAAGGAAGCAAGACCTTTGTGGGGCGGAAGGGGAGACTGGGAATGGGCAATGTCTGGAAGGGTGGGGGAGCCCTTCCCACGGGCAGGACTTAAAGAGGGAGCATGCGCACAGGTGAGAGGGGTGCTGGGCCCTAGATTGGGCACCTGCACGCCTGGGCCTCAGCCTAGAAGGGGCTGGCTCCGTAGAACCCCCTCCACCCACCCCTTGGGCCTCTCCTTTCCCTCGAGAGGGACTTTCTGCCCCCCACCCGGCCTTGTCCAGGGTGCTGAAGGTGCGGGTGGTGTGCCCAGGCTTTCCCTGCCCAGGGCGCTCACTCACAGCTGTCTTCCTCTTCCAGGAACACTTTGCTCACGTAGCAGGCGAACACGAAGCCAAAGAGCTGGGGTGGGAGGGGCAGGGAGTCAGGGAGGCAAGGAGCGGGCCCTGCTGGCCCTGCCTGCACCGCTGGAGGGTAGGGGTGAGCTAAGGTGAAAACTGACCCAAAACAACTTGGCGTTTTACTTTGAATATAATTGTTTTACCTCTTAGAGCCTCTGTTTCCCCAGATAGACCAGGGTAATACCTCACTGACGTGTTATAAGGAAAACAGATTGGGTGACTCTGGGTGTGTAAAGTGCCCAAGGCAGGGCCAGCCCTTTTAGGGAGGGGTGCTGTTGCTGTGTGTGGGGGGGTCATTCTCACAACTTTATTGAGAGTATTGTCATTCCTTTTTGTGGATAAGGAAACCAGCCTAGAGAAGGCAAGTGACATGTCCAAGGTCACCCAAAAGGTTCATTAGAAATTTAAACCCAGGGTTGGAGTCTTATGCCTGATCCTATTCATTAAACCTGCTCACTCACTGACTAGGCGTTGAGGCAGGGGTGAAGGGAGGTGGTTCAAGAAATCCATGAGCCAGGACTCTCCCTGGTGGTGCAACGGGTTAAAGCGCACACTATGAGGTGATCTGCAGCCATTGTAGCATGAGTTCGATCCCCTGCCAGGGAGGTGACCCATATGGCACAGCAGACCTCTCCTGTCTCACCCGCTGCTCCCCTCGGCAGTGCATTTCAGTGCATCTGCCTGTTCTGCCCCTCCCCCCCACACACACCTCTGGCCTGTACCCCAGTTCTTGTGTGCATAAATAAGTAAATCTTTAAAAAAAAATCCAAAGCAGAGGAAGACTGGAAGACCTAGGTCTGTCCTTTCTTAACTATGGCCATATACAGGAGTTGGGGTAGATGCCACCTTTGAGACTGCAGGGGATGGGGGTGGGAAGGTGTACTCACAGCCAGGAAGATCTGCAGGGCACTGCTGAGTGCTTCAATGTAGGGGTAGTCAAGCAGGCAGCCGGTAACAGAGATGACATGGTGGTCCTCCAGGGCCAGGCGGGAGTTCAGGACAGGTGTCACCAGGCAGCCTGGCCCATTCTCCATCCACCAGGAGCGGTGCAGGGAGGTGTTGAAAGTCATGATGAAGTCCCGGTCCTGGGGGCAGGGGGGCCTGGGATACTGAGCCGGGGGGAAGGGTTCCTCCCCAGGCCCCAGGAGACTTTATATAAGGCCTAATTCACACCTGGCTATGGCAGCAGCCTCCTCTCCGGGCTCCATTTGTGAAAGACTTGGAGCCTGCAGCTGCAATTCTGTATTTGGCCACTAGGTGGCGCTTGATGACCACCCAGGCTTCAATCTTTTATCAGCTGATCCACAGGCGCCCCAGAATTTCAGTAACTAGGTCCAGTTTTGCAGTCATTGATGAAATCCTAGATACAGGCCCATTCATGGCCTCTTCAGCCTCCCACTGCTTTCTGTGTGTGACCCTAGGCAAACCTCTCCTCTCTTAGTCCTTGGTCTCCCCATTTGAAATGGAGGCTGGCCCAGGCCAGAAGTTTTTCCCCATAGTGTGCATCTGTATGTTCATCAGTTCATTCAGTCATGTAGTCAGTTAACTATTTACTCTGTGCTGACCAGGTGCCAAGCACTGGGACGTGTTATCTCATTTCATCCCTTCAGCAATCACATATGTTGGGTTGCTATCATCCGCAGGCTAAATGAGGAAAAAAGCTCAGAGAGAGTAAGCCACTTGCCCAGGGTCACACAGCTAGGACATGTTAGACCTGGGACTCAAAGTCACTGCACTACAAAGTCAAAGCTCTCATTCTTAAATTGTTTTATCTAAAAATAGAAGTTATGCCCTCAGGGCTTGCAAGTTAAATTCTTCAAGTTCAATATTCCCATTTTCTTCCACAGTGTTCCATGTGACCTGGCACATTCGATTTCCCCAGAATAAACTCTTAACTAGCCTTTTCCTTCTAAAAACTATCAATCAGAACTAGGCAAATGTCTGCGGTCCAAGCAGGGCAGGGCGCTCAGCCTTCGCAGACTCCTTTGCTCTGACCATCTGGAGCCTGGCAGGTGCTTTCCAGCCCTGCACTGTTCATTGGTTTGCACTGAGCCTGTGATCAGCTAGGACCTCATCCCTCTTTAGACTGCCCTTCGCCCTGTGTCCTCATCGTTTGTTTCTGTGAGGTACAGAGACCAGAAACAAAAGCATGGGGGTGGAGAGGTGGGGAATCACAGATTATTTGGGTGTGAAGAGGGAGGTTTCTTTGAAATGATGCCCCAGGCCCACTCCCCACAAGGAGCCCTTGGTGGAGGGGATGTTTGGGTTCTGTCCCCAGCACTGCCAGGCCTGAGACTTACCTGGGACAGCTGTCCAACCTCCAGGTAGAAGCAGATGATAAAGGCATTCCAGCCAACCCAGAGCACCAGCCAGGCCGCGTACTGGGGAGAGCAGAGGAGAGGTCAGGGGGCCTGGGAGGGTGGGTGGTGGCAAAGCCTGGGGACTGAGGATCCCTTTGGCAGGGAAATTACTGCAATACCTCACTCGGAGAGCATTTTATGGTCCTCAAATCATTTTTACATCCACTGAGTCCTTATAACAGCTCTGCGGGGAAGGCATTTTTCCTCTGCTCAGAGATAACTAATTTAATTCCTAGAGAGAGCTTGATGTTTTCCAGGGTCACACAGCTAGGAAGAGAAGGGCAAGTCCAAGTCCCGGGGCAGCGCATCCTGTCCACTCTGCAGAGAACAGTCACCAGATAGAGATCTACCCAAGAGCGAGTGTCCTATGCCTGCAATTCCAGCGGCTGCCACAAGGGGCAGGCAGTGCCATTCACAGTGGTGCCTGGTGTTTCCCTAGGAGCTAGAGAGAAGGGTCCTGATGTCAGGTGGGAGAGCTTTGGGAGGGCTTCTGGGGGCTAAGCCTGGAGGAGGTGGGGGGAAATCCTTCAGGGAGTATGAGAGGGCTCTGGTGGTAGCACAACTTATATAGTAAGTCTGCTGAAATGCCTTTTCCCTCAAGAGGGGGACAAGAGTGAGATGAGCTGAAAACAGGAGTTTAAAAGAAACCACCAAGGTCCAGGGCTTGGAAAGAGGAAGCAGATGGGAGGAGCTGGGGATGGAATCCACTTTTGGGCCTGGCACAGAGAAGGTCCTGACCTCAAAGCCATGCTAGCCACTCTGTATGAACATCAAGGGGCAAAAACCAACCTTCTGGAACCAACCGGAGAAATGAAGGCCAAACCCCCACCATGCGCTCCTGGAGGGAGGGGGCATGTGGCAATGTGGCAGGAGCCTTCACTCTGGATCCCATGCCTGACCCTGGCTGAGCCTGTACTTAGCTGTGTGACCTTAGGAAGCCCAGGAACCTGTCAGAGCCACATTTCCCCATCTGGAAAGTAGAGGTGGTGAGCTGTGGCTTGCAGAGCTGTTAATAAAGATAAAGCAGTGAAACGCTTAGCAGGGTGCTTGGCTCGTGGTAGGCATTCACTAAGTGATTGATCTTGTTAATATTTTGGCTTTTCCCTAGGAAGTTCTTCAGGAAAAACACCAACCCTGTCTCCACTGAGCAAAGATGCACTGGGATTCGGGCATCCACATCTGCAGCTGGGCTGATGCAGAGACAAAACAGGAGAGGTGGGTGCTTGGTGAGGGCCAGAGGTGGCCGGAGGGGGTAGGCTGGGGAGGGCCCGAGGGAGCCATACCAGAATGAGGTACCGGGAGCGGTACTGGACGGTGCCAAAGATGCCCAGGATGACGGCCATGATGTGCAGGAAGTTGGCGAGGATGGGCGCCCACTGGTAGCCCAGGAAGTCGAAGATCTGCCGCTGTAGTGCAGCCACCTGTGGGAAAGAGCGGGCCGAGGCCACGTCACCACCACAGACACGGACTCCCGCTTGGCCTGATGGAGCAGGTGACACCAGCTACTGTGGCGATGAGGCACCAGGGCCTACTGGGCACCAGTTTGAGTCAGCCCAGTCCTGAAGTGCCCAACGGATGCTGGGGCGAAGAAGGGGATGAAGCCTTGCTCATCCCGTTGGGGTGGGCTAAAGGACCTTGCAGCTGGGGCTCAGGACACCAAGACGGCCTCTCCCTGGCACTGGTCCTTCCCACACAGCACTCACAGCTGATGGCCCCGGGTCCAGGCAGCAGGCCCAGCCCTGACCAAAGACTGGAACATCGCGCCAGAGGGGCCAGGAAGCCCCTAGGCTTGAGTTGCCTCTTTCGAGGACCCCTCCCTGGAGGATGTCCTGGTCAGTGGGCTCCAAGGGCCACAGACTGAGGCTCCTTTTCCACTCCTGTGGCAAGGAGCCACAGTAGATGGCAACAGACTGTCCCTACTCTCCAGCAGTGTCTTCCCTCCTAAGGCTGCACCTGGTCACAAGACTCGCTCTGCCCACAGGGACTTTAGGAGACAGTGCAGGTGAAGGCCCAGACGGTGTGCATGCTCCAGAGCAGGCCTGCTCGCTGCCAGAAGCCCACGCGCCGCCGGGAACCCCCCCCAGAAGGGCACTGACTTGCTGAAGGATGAGGGGACATGTGGAGAGTGGAGGCAGCCCAGCCCCCACCAGGACCCAGCAGACTTTGAGCCTTGCCTTGAGCCAGGTTGATGGCTCCCCCACATGCTAGTGAACCTCATTGGCCAGACACGCGAGTGAGACCAGAAGAATCTCCAGGCCGACCCACAGAATCGTTAGCTAACTAAAACGGCTGCTTTAAGCCAGGAGGTAGGAGTGATGTTATGCAATACAAGCCAACCGACAAAGGCCTCATCAACACTCCTGTCCAGCAGCCTGGCCGGGTCTCAGCTACACGCAGGAGCCCTGGAGCCACGAGACCTGTGGTTACTGTCCAATCTCCCTTCTTGGGGGGGGGGGGGCAGAATCCACCTCCTTGTTTTGGAAACCACCTCCGGGATACTCAGCCCATTAGCCTGGGGCAGGGCTGAGCCTGCACTTCACTTCCAAGAGGATTCTGGATCTAGATCTAACCAATAACCATCCCTCGGGGGTCTGTTCAGAGGTGGGCACTCACCCGGCCCACCCAGAGCGTCACCTGGATATTCTCCAAACACGCAGGTCAGGGCTGCTGTCAGTCTGCCCAGATAGCTGCATGGGTGTGGTGTCAGCGCAGGGAGCTGCTCCTGGCTGTTTCCACCACTTCTTGTGACAGTCCGACTAAGGAAGGGGGCTAAGCTTAAGGACAGAAAGGAGGGAGGGGAGAAGGCGAGTCCCTGGAACTTCGCTGCTGATGTGGCTTTGAGACTGAAGACCTCCCTGGGCCTAGAATGAATTCTGCTTCCTGTACTTGGGATTTCTGTCACCTGCAACCAGGAGTCCTGACTTAAATAAGAGGAGGTAGAATCTGGCTGGGAGGGAGAGGGGCACTCTGATAAGCTGAGAAGGCCCCAGAAGTCTTTTCCCTGGCAGGGAGACAGGAAGAGGTGGAACTGATGCTACCACACAGATGGCAAAGCTTGGGCAGAGACCCAGGAAGCTGCAGGCCCAGCCCTGGCACCCACCCACCTGGCACCAGCCTGCCTCTTGTTGGTGACCCCCCCAGGGCTGTGCGGATTGTAAAGCATGCTCCAAGTTCTTCTCTCGCTGGATACTTTGTTTTGGCAGAAAGGCAGAGCTAAGATCATTATCTTGTTTTGAAAAAAGGGCTCTTCAGGCTCAGAAAGGGGCAGTGACGCTCAAGGTCACGCTGCAGGCTGGTGGCAGTGCCAGGCAGCCATTCCACTTCTCTTTGCCACCTGTCCCACCTTGGCACCAATGCTCCACCTTCCCGTCAGGACTGGCCTGGGAGGAAGAGGTGTGAGTGCTGATGAGCGCCTGACCGCCTGCTGGGGGACCTTGGGTGGCCTCCTTCCCTCTGGATGCCAGACTCTTCTCCACAGTCTCCAAGGCCACTGGACTACATTATTTCTAAAAGGCGCTTCTGGTTTTGACCCCATGGGCTCCCCAACCATGGGGGAAAGTGCCCGAACGGCTCCCTCTCCCCAAAACTCCTCTCACACGCTGATTCTCCTTTCCACCCTGCCTATGCCCTTCCTGGCGGTGCGAGGTGCGTGGTGGTGCGTGACTCCACTGGCACGTGGTCCTGACGAGAATGTGGTAAAGGACACAGTAGGCTGGGCCAGAGCCGCGCAGGCTCACAGTGCAGCTGGAGAGGAGGTGCCTACCTGCAATGGCGTCCCCAGCCCTGGCTCCTGCTGCACGGCCCTCTGCTCTCGGGGCTGCAGACTGACAGCGTGAGGCGTGGAGCAGTAACCACAGGGGCACTGGAGTCACCACACCTCAGGCTCAAGTGGCAGTTCTGCTGTGTAGCTGAGGCCAAGTTACTTTCCCTCGCTGGGACTATTTCTTCAACTATAAACAGGGAAGATAATTCCTCCCTTGAGAGGTGATTGCCAGAAGACGGAGATCACAGACAATTAGCTTTAATAAGTGCCGGTTAATTAGAAGACCTCATAGTCAAAGATTCTTCTTGGTCCTGACGGCCGTTAAGGGTCTGGCTCAACCCTCACTGCAGGTCAGCTCCTGCCCCACAGTGGCTGAAACAACAGGTCAATTCCACCTTCGCTCCTCCTTCCCTACAGCCAAGCCTTCCTTGGCCTTCAAAGTGCAGCACCCCTCTTTTCTTGGAAGACCCCCGACAGGGAGACAACAGAATAGGGAGGACAGACTTTCTAGTCCCTTTCAGACCTGGCTCTGGCCTCACAGACAATGCTCATTCGCCTGTCCCCTTCCGTGGCATCTACCCAGCCAACCTGTGACATGCCCTTGGTATCCAGGGCCATCGCTTATCTTATTTAGGCACAGAGGGTTAGTTTGTTCAGGCGCTGTGCCGTGATCCGGATGCAGAATGAGTGAGTCGTGGTTGTGGCCCTTTAGGACAGAGTGGGCAGAGTGGACAGAGGCAGCAGCGGAATCAGCAGCGAGCCAGTGTGGTCAAGCTGCTCACCGAATGATGCCCGCCCTCCTGCCGGCAGCCCCTCAGTGTGGCACCAAGTGCCCACCTGCGTAGATTTTAGCACATACACACACACACACCTGTATTTCCTTAAAATTGAGGTTCTGTGTCTCAAATAATCTCAATTGTAGTTACTACGTTTTACTGGAGAACCAAGTCACAATCTTTGCAACAGGCAAAGATTAACAAATTAAGACGAGAACAAGAGGCCCTTCTCCCCAGCTCACTGCTCCAGCGTAGAAACAACAATCTGAGGGCTCCAGAGGTGTGTGTGTGGGCAGCAATCTACAACTGGCTTGGTGTCTCTTCTACTTTGATGGTTAGAATTACGGAGACAGCAGCAATCCATGCTTTTGCATAAAGTTCAAGTGTACATGGGCCGAGGAGCGAACAAAGGACTTCGGGGATACTTTTCTCTGCTCAGGCTGCAAGCCAGCTGAGGCCAGCCTCCGGAGTGTCCCTCCGAAGAGGGCCAGTACAGCAGCTCCTGCAGCCTCCTGTCGGGGGCTCTTTCTAAAGCACAAGGACAGTTGAGTCACGGTCATGAGTACAGACAGAAAGCTTGGGGTTAATGGTGATGGCCTCGGGCCTGCCACCTCCCCAGACACAGAGGACCCCAAACAAGCAGGATGAGACCCCCTGACTGTAGTCCTGGAGTGACAGATGAGAACAAGTCCCCTGAGCCGAGCAGCCCTGTCTGTACCTGCTGGTCCCACACGTCTGTTCATCAGGCCTTGGTCCCTCATGTGTACACCGCTCCCGGCCGCCTCCCGACCCAGCCTGCCCAGCCCCCTGGCCAGCAAGGAGGCGGCACTGGCGAGGAGAAGGGACCGTTTCTCAAATGTAGCAGCTCCTTCCCTGAGGGGTGCCTTGCCCTGAAAGGCATCCCAGGATGGTCTTCTCCTGTGTTCCTCAGCTGAGCGGGTATCTCTAGGGGTCCCCATGGTAACACCCCTTTATATCACTGCCTTGTCTCCCACTGGCCTCCGGGTTTGTCCCTTCATTGAAAACAAGCATGATTCTGAGTCACTGTATCTGGGGAACCCCAGCTCCTCAGACTCTCAGACACCTCACCCATTCTTCTCCCACCCTGTCCTCTCTATTCCTCCTTGTCCATGACCACGTGGAGTGTCATGGCCTGTACCTGCCCTGTCTCCAGTCACCCTCTCTGGACACCCCTTGCTCTCCCATGCCGTTCAGGATGGCCAGATGGCTGGGGGCATCTGGTCCTCCCCTACTTCACTTCTCTCCCGTTTCCATTCTTCACACCCCAACTCTGCCTGTGAGATCCACCATCCCTCACTTCAACATGCTTCTCTCCCTTCCCAGCACACCTGGCAGGAAAATCCCACACCTGATACACCAGTTAGTGGTTCCCAGGTCAGTCCGCTGTCGACCTGTGATCATCAGCTTCAAGAGACTCCCGATACTGTGCCTCGTCCCTGCTCACAGCTTTCCGCCCTCCGTCCCTGCCTGCTGTATTTGAGGCCCTGTCCCTCTCCTACACCGGCCTTCTCCTGCCCTCTGACCTCCAGCCTCTCCCTACCTTTCCAGGGCCCACACCTTCCTCGGTGCTAACCCATCCTTCCCATTGCCCCAGCCAGGCTTTAAACACTTCAAGACTCTTTATGAGAAAAACAGAGGTCTCCATCCCTCCAGCTAAAGCCCTCTCTGCTTTCACTTCCGACTGTTTCAGGCTCTACATCCCGGTGCCCTCGCTCCTCTGGGCTTACTATCTGGGCTTTCTGCTCAGTCACCCAGACTGTTCTCACTGGGGGGCCCGGCCCTGTCCACATCACCAAACCCATCAACTGTTCTCACCGCCTCACCTCAGGGCCACTATCCTCTCTCCTGCCAGCAACATTTT